ACTTCGTAGGGTCCAATCCGAAGTCCGAATCCGAACCAGCCGATCAAGGTCTGGAAGCTCGGGTTACACGAAATGGTGAAATTTTTACTAACTAGAATGTTTTAAAAAATTCGTACATGTCGGTTTATTATTTTCTAACGTTCTTTTCTAACGTTAAGTTTAACGAAATATGGCCGACCAAGACGTAATGCCAAGGTCCATTAATGAAAAAAGTTCAGAAAAAACACCAATAACTCAAGAACAAGTTACTTCTAATAATGTAGATGGAACTACGCCGACTCAAGATAAAGCTCAACGAATTCAAATTGAATTGCCAAAGAAACAACAAAATATAGAAGTTTATAGTGAAAATAAAGATAATGAAGGTTTTTGTTTTATTTTATTTTTTATTTTTTTTTTTTAGTGTACAGAGATTCTCGTTAGAGCACAGAGAGTTTACGCGTTGGTTTTTTAATTGTAAACCCAGAGTCAACACAGTATGAACCGCAGAAATCCGAGCAAGATATTGAATCCAATAAAAAGGATTTAGAATTAGAACATTTTGAGACGCGCAGTATTGAAGAACCTATGGAACCGTGGAAACATGAAGGACCTTGGTACACGGATATTACGAAGAGGAGATGGTTCATTTCCATCGTCATTGGATTATTAATTGTTATAATTATCATTGTTGGTGAGTATAAAAGCAAATAAGAGTTAGGCTTTGATCAAATTGGCATTCAACTGTTGGTTTAATCAAAAATTTTTTTTTCACTTACAGTACCAGTGGTCGTAACACATGCAACCAATGGATAGGTAGTTATATATATGTATATAAGCTTATATATATATGTATAATTTGGATATAATTTGGAAACAAGACTTAATGCATTATATAATACGAACTTCTTTTATCATTCATACCTTCTTGGCAGTTAATGAACTATTCGAAATAAAATTGAAGATTCTAAATGACTATTGAAATTGTATTCTTAATGGTTGCAATATAATGATGATTTTCGCGATTTGACCGGCAGTTTGCGTTCCTCATGACACGATTTATTCTGTATAAATGGGAGCTCGGAGCGTTGATTTACAAAAATTAGAATATTAATATTTATTGTCATATGATTAATCAAATGCTATTAAATAATCTGCCAGGTTTAAAGTATTTTATCGTTATATCGTGTCCGGTACCGTGTAACCAAAAACACAAACCTAAAGACCTTGCAATCTCGAAAATAAAGCAATCCTGTTTCAAAAGTTGCACTGATTAATAATAGAAATAGTTTTAGCAAGGGGATCTTCCCGTAAATACGGATTATGTACGTATTTAGATTAAAAAATTGCTATAAACAAGTTCAGTGATTCATAACTAAATTAGTATTTATTTTTCCTGACTCGAAGCTGTTTAAGCTAGTTTAATCATATTCTGCAAGCGAATACATTACGTATGTTTTTATCTAACTTTTTAAATATCCGATATATGTAGTGTCTTTATTAATTGCATATCCGAATAATTGACATATGGAACACTTTCGTGCTGGTAGAAATTCCTTGAGTATATGCGTTTCATCATGGTTAATCATATCTGATTCGTTATGTTTCTGTGTAATACGTGATATAGTATTACTCAAAATTAACACAGATTAGATGTAATAGAAATATAATCTGGAAAATGTATGATTTATTTTTTTCTCTTCGTTATATATATCTTAAAAAAGAAAGGGTCAATCTTAAATTGCTCAATCTGGTGTGATACCATCATAATGCATGTTTGACTTACTTCGCCTTGCAGTCTTTGGCCAAAATATTTAGCCGTACCATATTCTTGGGTCACCGTGTGAACTCGTTCTAAGTTTGGAAATAAAATTACGATAAAAGTAGTTTGTAAATTACATACAGTAAATACAGTAAGGAATTAATTTAAAGATATCAGATTAGGTTTCGACCAATAAGCTTATAGGAACTCTTGTATAATTCATCTTGTAATATTTATGCTACACGGATAACGATAATTATTTAACTAATTTGACTAATCTCCCGGGTTTATCGGAGATTTAAAATTTGATTATCAATATTGATAAAAGTATAAAAACGAAATACACAAAAGTTCACCCCCATTTTAACTTTAATCTCTCTCTTATTCACATTTCTTCACTACTTGTATTTTATTATTGTATTATATTTTATTTAAATTGCCATGTATCATGATCATACTGACCATTCGATAGAAACTATCCGTCGAGATAGTCAAGTGTTGAGCCACCTTCCAAAATTAATGGTGGTTAATCGTGGGGTAAATTTAAGGTTTCGATACTTTTTTTTCTCTTCGATGACTCGATATATTAATTTCTTGACTCTACTAGGAAATAGCTATTCGTATTTTTCGAACTGCTCATGAACTTTCAATGAGAACTGTCGCTATTTTCAGTCATGAAGACCGTTTATCAACGCACCGTTATAAAGCTGATGAAGCCTATCAAATAGGTGATCCTAGCAACCATACTCCTGTCGGTGCTTATCTTGCTCAAGATGAAATCATTCGTATCGCAAAATCAAAAGGTATATCGATGATTCATCCGGGTTACGGTTTTCTTTCGGAAAATGCCAGTTTTGCAAGAAAAGTTGAAGAGGCTGGAATCGCTTATGTTGGTCCTACTCCCGATGTTATTGAAAAATTGGGTGACAAAACGAAAGCAAGAGAAATTGGTATATATATATATATATGCAATCAACTCTGGGTATAACGAATTTTTTTAAAGAATTTTATTATAGAGTTCGGTGTAGAAACATAGTAAATTATTTTATAAATATATATATATTTTTTTACGATAAAAACCACCAGTTCGCTATAAAGAGAGTTGATTGTATATCTACTTTTATTTTAATTATTATTATTATTATTCAATTATTTCATTCAAAGCATGCACATCTTCCAACCTAATACCCGTACCAAGTTCAGAATGCTCGAGTGCAGAAACGACGGCACCCATAGATGGTTGAGAAGTTACACCGGACATACCTTAAATAGATGGAATAAAGTTTAATTATCAAGAATAATTAAGATACTATAAGATATTATACTTACTATCAATGGCCAAATCAACTACATCAGCACCTGCTTTAGCAGCAGCTAACATACTGGCAACGCCAGTTCCTGCTGTATCGTGAGTATGAACATGGATTGGTAAATCAGGCCATCTTTTCCTTATGCTACCGATCAAGATTTCAGCAGCTTCTGGTTTCAATAAACCAGCCATGTCCTTAATACCGAGTACATGAATTCCTTCATTAACTAACTCTTGGGTGAAATTTAAATAATAATCTAAATCATATTTTGTCTTCTTTGGATTGGAGACATCACCCGTATAACAAATTGCAGCTTCTATTACACCACCAGCCTTTCTAACAGCATCAATGCCTAACTTCATATTTTCAATATAATTGAGAGAATCAAAGATACGGAAAATGTCCACACCATACTCCTTGGCCTTTCTACAAAAATCATATACAACATTATCCGGGTATGAAGTATAACCCACAGCATTTGCACCACGAAGTAACATTTGGAAAGGAATGTTTGGAACCATTTTGCGTAATTTCATCTAGAATTTATGAAAGTTAAAAGAACTATAAGTTTAAAGCATTACTAATTGCTTTGCTTTAAAATATAAAAATTTACCAAACGGTCCCAAGGATCCTCATATAAAAATCTCATAGATACATCAAAAGTCGCACCACCCCACATTTCAAGAGAGTAAGCATTTGCAAGCGCGTGAGCTGTTTGAGGAGCAATATTCAAGAGATCTAGAAAAAAAAAAAGTTAGATCATAAACAAACGGACAAAAAGATAATATTATAAAAGAGATTATTTACCGATAGTTCTGACTCTAGTTGCCAACAAGCTCTGATGAGCATCTCTCCATGTTGTGTCCATGATTAATACACCCTTATATTCTCGAACAGCTTTAGCAAATGCCTCAGGCCCTT